AAGACTGTCTATTTCGATTGTGTCGAACACCTTATGAAAATCTATAAAAGTGAGGACAAAAGGTTTGTTGTATTCTAGAGATTTTTCAATGAGTTTCTCTACTGTATGGAGGTGATCATTGGTATCATAATTTGAACGGAATCCTGTCTGCCCTTTCGGTTGGTAGAAATCTAATTTTTTTTCCAATCTTGATATCACTAATCTAGCGAAGATCTTGTATATGTGGTTCAACAGGCGAATAGGTCTATAATTTTCTAGGTCCGTTTTATCTTCTTTTTATGCAAAAGGATAGTTATAGCATCGTTCCATGATTTGGGCACCTCTCTTTGCTGTAAACATAGATTAAACAGTTTAAAGATTAAACCTATTCTTGAATTAATACTTTCTTTATTGCATAATTAATAAGATTGTCAGACTATAGGTGGATACTGTTTTTGCTTTTTCTTGTCATTTTTTAGTTCTCAATTCCATTTATCTTTTTCCGTTCTTTCTCTCGTTCGTATACTTTTTCATGAGCGTTCATTGATGTTAAAATTATATGTTCCTGCCGATAGTTTGTTTATTTTGTTTCTTTGTGGAACTTTTGATTTCTGGTTTTACAAGCGGAATTTTCCTCCCTCCCAAACTAAATAAAACAAGCCTTGTATACAGATTGAACCAAATTAAAACGGAACATACAATTTAATACATGTCTCTTTGAACTGCATTTGAAATAGTGGACCAATATAAAACTTGGACAAAAATAAAACTACCCTTAATTTTCAAAAATTATAAAATAACATATTAAACCTGAATATGGGTAAAATTTGGTTTGAATTAATTAAATAATAATAGTTTCGTGCTTTTGAATAAAGTTCCATCATATTTCAACTCTTAAAAAGCGACCCTTATTAAAGATTAATATAAAAAAATTAGTAATGCGAAGAAAATGATTTCACCTTGGAACGATTTGCATAAAAATTTGGAATTAAGCTCAACTCACCCCTGCTCTATAGTTTATGTCATGCCGATGAACCCTGATTGTTCTTAGCGGTGAAAACTACCCCTAATTTTCAAAAATTGTAAAATAATATTAAAAAATCTTAAGATGAGTGAAATTTGGTTTGGATTGGTTAAATAGTGATTTTTTTATACTTTAAAATACAAATTCATACATTTTCAACACTTAAAAATCAATTGTTATGAGTGCTATAGGTGAAAACAATTTTTTGCCAAAATTTTGCAACTTTTCAACTTTTGAAAATCACCCTTTACAACATTGCAGTTTTTATAAACTAATTTATAAGATATAAATTGAAAAAAGTAGAATTAAATACAAAAAAATTTATCAATATAAAAAGGCACCATATATTCTTATACATTTACATTTACATAAATAGTTGAAAATATTTATATTTATAGGTAAAACAATTATAATATTAATTTTATTCGTCATCAATTACATCTTCATCGTGATCTATGTCATCCTCATCTTCTTTAATTATTGGTGGACTGTTATTGCACCCTTCACCTGAGCACCCAGAACAAGTAGAGTTACAGTATAAACCAACTTTTCTACACCCACATGAAACGCCGCATCCTTTTTTGCATTGGCAAAAAATAATTTTTAAAAGTTCATCGGGTGCAGGTTGTTTGTTCATGCGTACAGGTAATAACAAACCATCTTTGGAATACCATCCCCAATCTGTTGCTCTGATATTTTCATTGTCAAGCCATAGACATATGAGCAGATGTTTTATTCTGTTGTATGGGATTTCAAAATAAGAACGCTTAAAATTTCGAATGTATAACGCCCTACTAGCTAATATACCGGTTTTGTAGATTATTATGCTCCGAAATGTACTGTACTATACTAATGGAATTTTCCGGAAAAAAATTTAACTGGTTTTTTAACGTATTTAATTTAATTTTTAACAATAGAGTGTTTCTTCAAAAACGATTTGTAGAGGTTTTTAAGAGCTACAAGGATCTGTGAATTAAATCTTTTTGTAACCCTTGGTTTTTAAATGGGGTGAGTTTAAAGGGCTCGAAAAAGATGGTGCTTGATCGTAAATCGATGCTTTAAACGGCTATATCTCGCCAAATATTCATTGTACAACAAATCTAAAAAAAGAATAATTTTAGTCATTAAAAAAGCTACAATTTGATAATTTTTATTTTTTTCATATATTCAGTATTTTCGGACATATTTAAAAAAAGAAGGGTAAAAAATATGAAATTGTAAATCGTTTCTCGCTTTAAGCTGTACTTTTTCTAAAACTAAGCATTTTAAATGGGTCAAACTTCTTGGACGTATTAACAGTACATGTACAAAGGGAATTGCAGAAGGGTGAAGATCGATTTTAATTATGGGAGTGGTTAGGGGGTTGTTTTCATCGATTTTTTCGTAAAAAATGAGGTATTGACATTATTTTTATCATAACTCACTCAATTTTTGAGCTAGAGTCTTTTTTTATGATAGGTCTATTTATGCTCTTTAAAAAAGGTTTTGTGAGTTTTCTTCCAAAAATGCATCATTTTCCCGATATTTGACTTTGAATCTTTCAAATTTGGCATTTGAAGAAAACCGCTGAACATTGATAGGCCGTATTTCGGTTCCTATTATATCGCAAAAACATTTTAAAAAATGAATTGTATTTGTCTTTTTAAAAGCTACAAGTTTGTTCTCTACAATTTTTTTGATAAAATGCACAATTTTTGAGTTATTTGCAAAAAATCGATTAAAAACGTGGATTTTTCCGTCTAAAAGTTGTTACTTTCAATCGCGAATAACTTGAAAAATATCATTTTATAAAAAAAATGTATGGAACATTTTTTGTTAAGAATCACTTTTTTAATCGAAACCTGTAGTTAAAACGTAAAAAAAAATTTCACCCCGGAGATGGGGTGACAACCACCCCCTAGGCTTTGGCGCACTTTGGTTCGATATAGATTTTGATCCTTAGGCTATTACCTACCTTCTGTTAAATTTTAAGTCAATCCACGCAGCACGAAAAAATTGCGAGGTGAAATACTTCATTTCCTGGACTATAACTGGTTTGACAGCATAATAAAATCGTAGATTTATGTGTAGCTTTCAATTTTTATGAGTTCAGAATCCAGCAGCCCGCAGAAGTATTGGGTTTTTATAATATAATTATTTGACAATCTTTTGTTGGCCAACCACTTACAGCAGAATTGCGCTGAAATACATTATATTCCTATGTTCCGAATTCATTTCGTTCAATCTGTATAGTATATAGACAAAATAATTTATGAATTTTTCAACTTGTTTTTGAACGTCATAATCTTGAACATCTCTCTATTGCCCCGCACTCCCCTAGTTGTAAACTTTTTCTTCGGATTCTTTTCAGTTACAAATTGAAAGCTATAATTTTTTTATAATACCACCGGTCTACAAATAATAAATACATGTTTCGGTTTTAATTACCTACAATAATCAAACGAACAAAAAAACGAGTACGACTTTGTAGATACGGATCAGATATATGTTTCTGTTTCTTCGTCTAGTTTTATCTCCCGATCGCTGTGTCATCACTTCACACAAGTTTTTGTTAGATCAAACGCCACACCTTAGTTATTTATATGCATGACATGAATATTGATGTTTCTTCTGTCTAATCGAATGGTGAAAATGATGCATCAATAAGTAAATAACGCGTTCTGAAAGATCTCGTGAGAGTCAACCAGTAATAACCATAATTTCCACTTTTTGATTATTACTTCTTGTCGATGGTCTGTTTAATCCGTAACTAGATCGCACAAGTTATGAATTTTATGTAAAATTTGTTCAACATGTTGAACAAGAACTTATTTTTCTATTAACAATTTGTAATTGTGACTCTTTTTAACTCTTGTATAAAATTCATATTTTTTGCATTTTTAATTTGATGAAAAACAGTTATTATTTTATAAAAAGTTCTAAATGATCTAAAACTTAGACTACAATCAGCAGATATTAAATTTTTTAGTCATATATGCGGTTTGTAAAAAAATATGAATTTTATGTAAGAGCTAACAATATCCACATAAACGAAGTCCATGGGTGTAAGATCTGCAGATCACGAAGGCCACTTAATATCGCCTGCTCCACTAATAACTCGATTCGGGAATGAATTGTTTAAATACTCCCTAATTATTCAAGCGTTGTGAACTGAACAGCCGTCTTGATGGAATCAAACATTCTCCAGATTTACATCAGGAAGATTAAGAATAGCGGGAAGAACATGATTCTGTAACAAAGTGAGGTATACTCTACTACTTAGTCAAGTTGCCCTCAAAAAAAATGGACCTACCATGTGGTCTCCTAAAATGTTAGTCCAGACGTTAACTTTTTGAGTTTATCCCTTCTAACGAAACAGAATATTCATCAGTAAATAAAATGATTTTATTAAAATTGGGTTCATCCTTAGCCTTCGTTATTAGAGTTTCACAAAACTCCATTTTTCGAAAGTAGTCGTCTAGATAAAGCTGCTGCGTTTTCGAATATTTGAAATTCTTGTAACCGTGCTTTGTCCATACTTTCATTCAGTAACATTGCTAACATCTAACTCTCTAGCGACGCTTCTACTTGAACGTGTTGAAGCTACCTCGATTGTTGTATATATATATATAGTACCAAGATTCCTAAGAGGAACATAGGGCTTCCACAAAGTGTCTCCAGCGAACTCTATTTCTGGCTAGTGCTTTGATTTCAAGCTCGATTGTTGTACGAAGTTGAAATTTAAAATTTTATTTTTCTCTATAGCTTTCATGTTTGTGAATATTTATGTATAAAAATTTATAACTGGGGGCTTTTAAGTAGAAGGAATTACAATTTGATACATACTCTGATATAGCTGTTAGAAGGCGCCACATATGCCAGATATCTCGCATAAACTTGCCCCTAACTTTTTTGCTCTTCAAGTTAGCGCTATTTGTGTCAAAAAATATTAACCCTGTATATATTTTTATTATTTTTTTTTTGTATTATGGTAAATAATAAATAATATAGTACTTACCCCCAACGCTGAATCGTCAAGAGTTCTTTTCTTATCCGCCTTTTCAGATTTTACATTTAGCACCGAGAGAGGAGACCATTGGTTCCATTTTGATGATTTGTTCTTTTCTTGGGGTGTTTCCACTGTTTTGTTATTGGGCAGAAAAGTAGCATCTGAAATATGATAGCATGTGGTAAATGAAAGATTTTGAACTGTAATTATAAAAATTTAACTAAAAATTCTCTAGAGTTAGGCAGAACCGGTTAGGCTCATTTTATTGAGCATAGAAAGGGTTTCAGTCTATAAAAAATTATTATAAAAACATTTTTACGAAAAAATATTATCAATATCATTTCCAAAAAGTAGGTACTGTTTTTAACTTTGAGAGCTAATTATGCAATAACAATTTATCGAAATTAAACTTATCAAAGCTTAGTCAATGTACTTGTATGATTTTATTGCTATATTTTATAAAGTCACGTAACCTAGGCTTCGCAACAATCTGGATCAAAAAGTGCATATTGCTGGAATAGCATTGACATCCGTAGTGGATCGTGCTACCAGCAACTGGTTTCACAAATAGCTCTGAAATATTAATAGTAAAAACTGATAATTAACAAGTTAAAATTATTACTAAAGTGATTATAGTGGTGGTTTAAGTGCAGGAAATCATACGTGAGTAAAGAAAACTTTGATTTTGTTTGATTGCATGATAATAAACTGAATAAATTATTGTCCTAACTAACCTAACAATTTGGTTAGAATAAAAAGAGCAATTATCAAAATCTGGTTGCTTGTCAACTTTTAAATAAAACAGATCCGTACTCAGCCAAATTGATGAAACCGAAAAATAAAAAATAACAAAAATGAATAGTAATAACGGCAATGTTATTATTTAGACTAAGAACTCGCCAAACACTAAAAAATACTCCACAGCATTGATTCACATACCAATAACTTTTCCTAGCAAAGAGCAGGCAAGTTCAAACAACTCCGATAACTAAACCTACGACCTCCAAACGAAATGCATCAGAAATTGCAACACCTAGCCCAGAAGCATGATACTAAGACTTCCAAGATAAACCCACTTCGCAATCGAATTTTGTACATCGCCGCGCATAACGTCAATTGGTGATAAAAGTCACTTTTATCACCAACCTTTTATCATCGCAGTCGGTAAAACATATATGGAAAGAAAGGGGTTTTTATTTAAATATTTAGAATATTAAGAGATGTTAGGTAAAATATCTGCAATTAAATCTTAAAAATATGTTATATATACATCTCTGTTAGCCTAGCAATGTAAACTAAAATTATATAAAAAAGTAAGAACTAAACATCCTTTTGCAAATGGAAATTTATATACAATGGATTGATTTATTAAAATAAAAATTTAATACAACTGATAAAATAAGATACACTGTAATAATTTACAAGTATATTTAACAATTTATTTTACAATTTTTAATATTTTCTTCTTCTTAACTTTGGATGTTTCTTTAATATATCTATTCAATTTTCTAATTTTAAAATATAATTTACACCTTTTCTAACATTACATCTGAACACAGCTAAATTTATTAGCGATTTTAAATAATTCTTGGTTAATTTTAATGACCCTTTGTTAAAATTGTTAAAAATATGGTCCAGTTCATTACATTTAATTAGAAAATCTGGATATGGTTTAAGTAAACCTCCTTCGGAAAGATGGTTTACTCAGTAAACCGATGTCAACGTACAAGATAAACGATAAAACAAAACTAAATCTCAAGGTTAGTAGATATTTAAGTAGATACTTAAATATCTACTAACCTTGACTAAATCTGACAAAACTCCATACAACACAGAACATTTCTGGTAACATTTGTCGCCAAGTGACGTCACACGACTGATCGCGTGCGCGTGGGTTTATCTGTAGTTTATAGTATCATGGCCCAGAAGATATTACTAATTCCTCAGAAGCAAAATCCTACTTTCCAACACCTGTTCCAAAAGTTCCAAAGGAAAAGTTGAAGTCGAAAGACAAACCCTTATTAGAAATTCGAGAATTGCCCCAAAAGATAACCAATTTTACTGACATTCACAATCCCAAGTTCCCACTCGATAGTCAACAATTCACTGATCTGTTAGAGTGATGCATTACACAAACACTCACTGTAGTAGTGATGCATTAAGCATTGCTAAAGACTATAATCTATTCCATCTCTTATAGAAATGATAAATGAAATACATTCTCAGACTGAAGATCAAAATATGAAAATTAAATGTAATAGACTAGGTAAAAAATTAACTAAACACCTGCTCGAACATGTTGGTTCATCTGACTTAGATAGTGATATATATTAGATAGTGATATATATATTCATCATCATCATCATCCAGCCTCTATTTATCACGTCCACTGCTGGACATAGGCCTCCCTTAAACTCCTCCATTCCTCACGATTTTGTGCTCTTTGTTGCCAATTTTTAGTGATACGCCTGATATATATATTAGATAGTGATATATGTCAAAACTAATTGTTTAAATAAAAATATAATTCATGTATAATATTTTACGGAATTTAAAGCGTTTTATTAGCGGAATTTAAATAGTTTTCACACCCGCCTAACCCTTATTTCAGGTACGTATTAGGAAATATTCACCTAATATTGTATGCCTCCAAGAAACTAATTTTAAAGACAACAATGTGTATAACTTGAAGTCATATAATGTTTACTATCAAAATACGACAGGCAAATCATGCTAGTGGCGGTATTGCGATATATGCTAAAACCTATTTACAAGTAAACAAAATCACAATTAATACAAACTTAGGAGCAATAGCAGTAACAACAGGTACTAATCAAAAAATGAACATATGTAACATTTATATTCCCCCGAGCCAAAATATCCAAGGAAATGAACTTTCCATCACCAAAATTAATTTTTGGAGACTTTAACAGCCATAATCTTCTATGGGTTTCCGAAAAAAACAACTAAAAATGGTAAGTTATTAGCAAACGTAATCAATAGCCTGAATTTAACAATAATTAACGACGGAGCTAAAACTCGTTTCGACGCAGCTACTGGAAATTTAATATAGTAGTAACAAAAATTTCCATGTGGCAAAAATTATGTGGCATTTGGAACATCACAAGTTACTTATACCGGAACAAGCTTGATTTTGTCCTTTGAGATCTACTATAGACAATGTTTTACATTTAGAGAGTCATATTAATAAACCCTTCTGTAATAAACAGAAATGCATAGATGTTTACTTTGACATCCACAAACTTTGACTTAGCATGGCGACAAAGAATATTAACAAACCTGCAGACTTGGGGAATTTAAGGAAACATGTTGGCATTTTTGAATAACTTTCTAAATGAACGCAAATTTTCAGTACTTGTATGGAGAACTGTCTAGTATTAAGTCTCAAGACAATGGAACACCACAAGGATCTGTAATTAGCCCTACACTTTTTTAAAAGCAATGAATGATGTTATAAAAAATCTTAAGAGACCTGCACAGGGTAGATTATATGAGGATGATATGATAATGTTTATCAAAGGAAAAAATATTAACTCGATGGTCAAACTTTTACAAGAACTAAATAAAATCGAAAGTTGGTCTAACAGGAGTGGATTCTATTTTTCAGCTGACAAGACACAATATATTATTTTTTCAAAGAGCCCATTCACACTAACATACCTGCCTTAAAATTCGGCACACAGTTTTTGAAGCGAAGTACAAAGATAAAATATTTAGGCATAAAATTCGACGAAACTTTCAACATTGCATATTCTTCAGCGTCGAAGTCAAATTTAAAAATCTTAAACATTATACACAACAATGCATTGCGCATAATCTCTGTAGCTTATAAAACAACTCCTGTTGCAAGCCTCGAGTTTGAACTTGGAGAGCCATCATTACATGAACGAAGGAAATTACTTATCTTACGCTTCAAAACAATCATCACTACAACCTGACAACCCTTTTCTTACTCAGTCGTCGTTATCAAATATCAATATACGAACACATTTACCATTTCAATTAAGGATCAAAAACATTTTAAACTTTACAAGTAAACAGAATCACAATTAATACAAACTTAGAAGCAATACCAGTAACAACAACTAATCAAAAAATAGGCAGGTACTAATAAAAAAATGAACATATGTATCATTTATATTCCCCCGAGCCAAAATATCCAAGGAAATGCAAATTCCATCACCAAAATTAATTCTTGGAGACTTTAACAGCCATAATCTTCTATGGGGTTCCGAAAAAACAACTAAAAATGGAAAGTTAATATAATTAGCAGCTACTGAAAATTTAATATAATAGTAACAAAAATTTCCATATGGCAAAAATTATGTGGCATTTGGAACATCACAATTTACTTATACCGGAACAAGCTGGATTTTGTCCTTTGAGATCTACTATAGACAATGTTTTACATTTAGAGAGTTATATTAATGAAGCCTTCTGTAACAAACAGAAATGCATAGATGTTTACTTTGACATCCACAAACTTTAACTTAGCATGGCGACACAGAATATTAACAAAGCCGCAGACTTGGGGAATTCAAAGAAACATGTTGGCATTTTTAAATAATTTTCTAAATGAACGCAAATTTTCAGTACGTAGTAATGGAGAACTTTCTAGTATTAAGTCTCAAGATAATGGAACACCACAAGGATCTGTACTTAGCCCTACACTTTTTTAATAGCAATGAATGATGTTATAAAAAATCTCAAGAGACCTGCACAGGGTAGATATGCTGATGATATGATAATGTTTATTAAAGGAAAAAATATTAACTCGATGGTCAAACTTTTACAAGAACTAAATAAAATCGAAAGTTGGTCTAACAGGAGTGGATTCTATTTTTCAGCTGACAAGACACAATATATTATTTTTTTCAAAGAGCCCATTCACACTAACATACCTGCCTTAAAATTCGGCACAAAGTTTTTGAAACGAAGTACAGAGATAAAATATTTAGGCATAACATTCGACGAAACTTTCAACATTGCATATTCTTCAGCGTCGAAGTCAAATTTAAAAATCTTAGACATTATACACAACAATGCATTACGCATAATCTCTGGAGCTTATAAAACAACTCCTGTTGCAAGCCTCGAGTTTGAACTTGGAGAGCCATCATTACATAAACGAAGGAAATTACTTATCTTACGCTTCAAAACAATCATCACTAAAACCTGACAACCCTTTTCTTACTCAGTCGTCGTTATCAAATATCAATATAAGAACACATTTACCATTTCAATTAAGGATCAAAAACATTTTAAACTCTATTGAATTTTTTAACTTTCCCTCAACACATTCAGCAAACATAAACCTTAAAACAACAACATAAACAACTTCTGGTGTAATATTATCATTTGTTATAAGAGACATAATAAAAAGTGTCAAATTGCTCACAGAATCCACTGTGATAACTGGAGAAATGTACACAGAGCTTTAAATCACATACAAACAGTCAAATCAGATAAATTCCTTATTATTACTGACTCAATCAATTCCCTCCATATACTGTCAAAAATGTACACCTGCAACCCGATTGCTAAATTAATCAAAAACAAGATGTAGCGGCTGGAAAACAATACATTAGTCTTCGTGTGGGTACCATTACATATAGGCATTAAAGGAAACGAACTAGCTGATAAAAATGCTCGAGAAATAGCAAACTCTCCAAATATCAGACTGATAAAAAAACCATTAGCAGAAGATCTCAATCCGTATTTTAAACAAAAGCTGATATGTGATTGGACTAAATGTTGGGAAGAAAAATCATCAAAGTTAAAAGAAATTAAACCAAATTTTGGACGATGGAGTAAGAACGTCCCTAGCCGTTTCCTTCAGATTATATTAACCAGACTCCGATTAGAACACAGCAAACTCACACATGAATATCTCATGAAGAAGGAATCTCAATCAAAATGTACGAGTTGTGACGTGCCATTAACAGTGAAACACGTATTAACGGAGTATCCCAAATATAGTGCTAAAAGACTAACTAATAAAATTCCATCAGTTATAAGAGATATTTTTAGTGAGTGTACCAGTGAAAATATTGTGAAATTTTTAAGACTGTAACTTGTGTATTGAACCACATTATAAGTATGTTTTTTATTTGTTATTTTTTGTAATCATTATTGTTTACATTAAATTCATCCGCTAATAACCAATATGGTTGATGCGGCTGCCTTTAAATAAAAAAAGTGCATATTTTACCCCTGCAAAGTCACAAATAAATTCTAACCAAAAATTTGTTGTTGCGCGGACTGGTGAGGTCTTACTGACATCGCCCTTTATAACACATCGAAAGTTAGAAAATTCACTAATTAAAGTACACTTTTTCATCCTCAACCTGGGCTATTAATGTCCTGTGTTATCTTTTCAAACCTACTGATGATACGCTAACATTATTCTAATATCCAATTCAGGAAAAATTCAAACTAAAAATTTATTACCTTGTTAAGTTAATGCTTCTGCAAATATACAAAATAAATGAATAAATCCACTATAATAGTAAATTAAATCGTAATAACCAACAACCATAAAATATACATACTACATTGCTGTTTTTCGCTACACATTTAATTAATTCTTTTTGTTAATGATATTTTCAAGATCAATAGTACATAATTCATTTGTTTTTTATTACGTAAACACAAATACGTGAGGCAAGTCCCATTCCACATATTTTAACTATTGCCTTTCAAGGTTATTAGCAGTGAACATAATAAACAAAGCTAGTTGTCTTACCTTTAAAACCGGGATTGTCGAACGCATATTCTCCTTTGCCTTTTTCAGGATCAGTTTCCAAAATCAAGTGATCTGTAAAAGAAGAGAGAGTGATTACTGTAAAGCTCTACTTTTAACAATAGCTAGAAATATATTCATTCGTTTATTGTGACTATAACTCGACCTCGTAGGAGGGAGCAGTGGCGCACCCAGGGGGTTAAACCCCCCAGGCCATTATTCCGGACACTGTTACTCACAAATTTTAAAGACTTAAAATGGTGGAGGTAGTATAAAAAAAATTTCGGTGCCCAACCAAAACTCCCTTCACAGGAAAATTCTAGGTGTGCCACTGGGAGGGAGAGGGCAGAACACATGGCTTTATAAAAAATCTATATGCCTTAGACAAAAACGTTTTAAATAAGAAATAAAGGTGAGATAATGTTGTCGTAGTTGTCGAGTAAATTTATTACTTCCATTGACCGATCACCATGGAATTTCTATAATTTTTATTGCTAATGGCTGGCCAATCTTAGGAAGTGGGCTGGTCTAACGTCAACAGATCTATTTCGAGGTGCTGTGAATAGAATAAGATGGGTTGTCGCCCAGCCTCCTGAATTGTGTTTGGTCAAATGGCAACAGTAATTGCAGCCAATCATAATTCAGAATTCTGTTGCTCATTTTCTCTATTATCATTGGTCGAATTGCACCTGAGTTGCAGCCAGTGATAATACAGAAAATTGGGCATTGGTCGTCGTGCAGGTCAACTGGCGAAAAAGCCAAAGTAACGGTTAAAAACCGTTACAAGTTGACCTACTTTTTTAAGATAAAAGAAGTGCACGACGGCCAGGACCTCAGACCGGGTCAGGATATGTCCGCTGGTCCAGCATTAGAAGCAAGTCGAGATCCTCTGATAGATTCAGTTCTCAGAGACTCAAAACCCAGAGCCTAACGCTTTCATCTTTAACAACCCAGAACCTCACGTTCTCACCTTTAAACCCAGGTTCTGGGTTTAAAGGTGAGACACGTTCTCATCTTTAACTCTAGGACAGAATTCCAGTGGGAATCTCTGTCGGTTTGCGAACGCAAGCAAAGCGGCCATTTTTTAGGGATTTATTTCAGCTTTTTCGACTTAGTCGGAATTTGCTAATATTTTCCTTAAAAGCGTCGTATTTATCACCGAATTAATCTGTGTCTTTGGACTTAGTCCAAAATCTGATTATTTCGCACCTTACAAGTTGTGTAATAAAATTCTCTTCCAGGTTTCGCTAAGTTCCTACTTGACGGGACTTAGCCACCGGACGGTGCATATATCCTTTAAAAGGGAAGCAGAAATAAACATTTGTGTTTTATTTTCTATTTTTACTTTATTTTATTTCTTTCGGACTCTGCAGTTCAGAGCCGAAAATAACTTAGGTAGATTTCTGATATTTCTCTTTCAGATACATTGTGGAAAACTTGTAAGTTATTTCAATCTTTGATATTGGTAATTTATATGTATTTCAGGTACACTGTTAAAAACTTGTGAAATATTTCAATCTTTGATATTGGTATTTTATATGCATTTCAGGTACACTGTTAAAAACTTGCGAAATATTTTAATCTTTGATATTGGTATTTTATATGTATTTTAGGTACACTGTTAAAACCTCATAAAATATTTCGAACTTTACCTTTGTCGATATTTCGAAAAACGTTTAATTATTTTATTTCAGGAGTAGAACTTGTATTATTTTTACTATTTTTTTATAGTATCGAATTTCTTTTTTATAACTCTTTTTACCGTGTACTTTATTGACATTTTATTGTTGATATTGCCGAATGGCACTATCCTAGACGATTCCCAGTTGGTTTCAGGTTCCTACCTCAACTCCTTCCTACCCTTCAATTTTGACAGCTGGAATTTCTCTATATTTACTAATTTCATATTTACATATAAATTTTCTGGCATTGTTTAATTTAACATCTTTGCCTTCCAGATTCTTAGTATTAAACTAATTTGCGTAATTATCCTCCAGATCTGCGACCTGGAGCTAATTACCAACTTCCTTTTCAGATTCTTAATCTAAGATCTTATTTGTTATTGCACTTTCTTTATTTTTCCCTATTTAACAACAATAAACAATTACCTTTGTTGTCTTAATCTTTTATTCCTAGTTAAATTGGCATAGCACGTGCCTATGGCCACCGATCGACCCTACACATTCAGATCGACGAAAACTATGGAAAGAGCGATTACTCTAGTGTCTCCCTCTCCCGAGGGATCTGAGGGACTAACAGATTACCGACAGGGTCAATGTGGCCGCCAACATCTCTAGAAAATAGACACATTTAGAAGAAGTTATTGCTAATCTTCATAACCTATAGCTTGAATTGTCGATTTTGAGTTTTGTCAACAAACATGAGACTTTTAAATATGCCTAAAAATCGCTGAATTTAAACCTTCACATTACAAATAATCTAAAACGTGTAAAACTACTTATTTTCAATTGTACAAGTAGAAGCCATTGAGATGGACAAAATCGGAATAGGAATTGATCAACCATCCACTAACGGTGATAATTTTTTTACTTGGATAAGATTAGTGTCAAGCTATCGCTTATATTTTCATTTCAAAAACTATAAAATAAAATCTCTATTCGCAGAAATATGCTTACAACATCAAATTGAACATATATGATTTCATTTGCAATAAAACCGAACGAATAAAATTGTACAAACACTCATTACATGACATAACAACAATAGTATGCGGGCAGTAATGCTATTTACCGGTCGGTACTTGGTATGTAAACCGGTGTCAAGAATCAGGTTGAAAAAACTGAAATATATGCATGATCATGGAAGTGGATTGAAGGATAATAAAGAGTTATTTGCTTATGTCTATAACAAGTCATTCAACGGCTATTATATTGTTTCAGTATACAGAATGTTGGATTTTTTGCTCAAGGAAATACCACGTAGAATTCTTACTGACAGCGATATAATTAAATACGAGGAATTATTTTTTTGCGAGCCGAAGCCAATAAACGAAGTTTTTGTTCAGTGTTCGAAAATTAGTGTACAAGTAATTTTTAAGAAATAAAGATTTGTTCTTATCTCTACTTAGTTATGTTAGATTATTGACATGACAATATATCTAGAAGCACAGTTTTCTTCTCATTATTTCGATACATTTCGAGTTTCCACTTTCCACAAATCGTAACTTAAATGTTTGGAAAAGTATTTAGTATTTGATGGAATCGACCGTTACTTGATGGAAATTAAGTACTAAAAAAAGCACTTACGCAGTGGTCTATACAAACTAAAATGTGGCGACTGCCCAAAAACTTACATCGGTTAAACTGATAGAAATTTTAATAAACGAATAGCAGAACATAAAAGGGATTTCAATAATAGAAAAACAGATTTTACATACGTACTTCACCTTCTAGATCATAATTATTATTTTAATGACGAATTTCAAATTCTTCACATTCAAAATAAAGGCCTTAAGACATCTTTGTTAGAATCTATGGAAATTAACAAAAACACATATGTAATTCTGAATGATCAACTTGAGACAAACAGTTCTCCCCTCCTCAACCTATTTTATTAAAGACTATAAAGGGTAAACGCATGCGACCAGACACCCTAAACCTAAAATCCCACACCTACCCGCCATTCTACTGGAACTCGCCAGTAACGAACTCCCTGATGAATACATTGACATACAGGAGGCAACTCCCCTCTATTTCCGTCGCATTCCTAGTTAAATTGCTCACTTCGAGCTTGCCTATAGTTTATTTTGATGAACGAGAGAGTAATTAGCATAATTTTAACTGGTACCTCCGACCACTCCATGGGCGTGCTCAAGATTAATTGAAAAATTACTTTGAATAATTGTAAAAAATAAATGAATTATTTCAGTGTTATAAAGTGTTATGTGTATGTAAACAAAAGTGACCTCTTTTATCACACACTATATTAGAACTGACTGGCCTACATTAAAAAGGGTTTTAAAAAATTCACATTTTTTTTAATTTTTAAAAATTACAAAAGATAAAAAGAGTTTTTAAAACCGTCTAAGGTATGTTAAATAGATGAATAAAAATATTAATATAAAACTTACAGCTACTTGTTACAAATCCAAATCAGATTCAGAAGATGAACTTTCAGAACCAAGATATTATTTATAATAACTGGCTCGATCATTTTATCAGTAATATTGTCCAGCTTCCACATTTTTTCCTCTTCTTTAATAGTGTGATTTACTGTCTTTTCCCAGTTTTCAGGTTTTACATTATTTACGGCCTCCAAAAACAACTGTTTAACATCATGAATTTTAAAAGTGGTATTTTTTCTTGAAACTTCACTCTTTATCTGTGCACATACCAGTTCAATCTGGTTTAATTCACAATGATATGGTGGGGATCTACGTACTGTCACTCCACGATTTTTGGCAATTTCATCAATTTCGTATTTTTTAAATTTTTCTTTATGAAGGGCACACAACGAATAAAGTTCCTTTCTTATAGATCCGGGATGGTACGTAATATTTTTTGAACTCAGCCAATTCTGCAAGTCTTTTTTTAACCACTTGGTTGTGGGCAGTCCTTCTATAAGTCTGGAGTGATAACTTGCATTATCCATTACTATCACACACTTCTTAGGAAGAAGATCTATCATTTGTTCGAACCATTCTTGAAAGACATTAGCGTTCATGTCTTCATGGTAGTCACCGGTACGAGTTGATTCAAAAGTTAATAAACCACCTTCAACAAAACCGTCTGAACTGCCAATGTGTACTATTATCAGCCTGCGTCCCTTTCCTGATGGTGGGTTTAAACCAGTAGATAAGTTATTTACAAAAGCGTGCCTTTGACTTGTAACAGTTTCATCCTGCCAAAATTTATTTGGTGTATGACCCTCGTTGATCCATGTTTCATCAAGATAAAATATTTTTCTTTTTTGGTTTCTCATTTCCTTTCTGGTTCTTAGAAAATGTCTTCTCCATATGACAATATCGCTTCTTTCTAATAAAATAGACTTTCTGGGATTCTTTTTCTAGCGGAAGCCTATTTCTTTTAAAAGTTTCCATAACGTACTTCGACTCATTTCTAGGTAATCCTTATCATCTCGAACTGAGACAAGAACTTTATCCAATGTTGGAAATTCTTGTCTAAAGAAGAATTCATGCACTTTCCGTCGAAGTCCTTCTTTAAAATGATATTCTATTTGAACTTTTGGTTTCCCTGGAGCATTACGTGGCATTTGAAAACTACCACATTTCTCTTCTTTAATAACTCTGTAAATCGTAGATTTCCCAACACCAAGTGTACTGCTAACTAACTCAACGGTCTCATCAACACTTTCACATAAACGTTTGTCTGTAAATGATTTAAAACAATTAAATATTAATGTTTTTTCATTAACTGTTAAAGGACCAATTTTTCGGCGTTTACACGGCATTTCCAAATTTTCCATAACACTAGTATACACAATAAACTGCACCTTGCAACTGAAGTACCTACTTTTAGTGAACTGTTAAGAATTTTGAATACGCCACTTGGACCTTCCTACAAAATGGAAAAACCCACTATCACATTTTCTGTGGAATAAGTTTAGAAGGTAATTATCTAGTCAATTACTGTCGTAGATTCCTGGAATTAAAGAATTAAATGTTTGATTGTTGAAACCCTTACTTCGTGGAATGCACTCATTTCAGATAAAATAAAACGTTTTATTTTATCTAAAGAATTAAACTTTATTTTGCAAATAGGTAGGTACTTATTAAACTTTTATTGGTTATATATAACCAATAAAATAAACATCTTAAATTTCTTGCAAATTCATTAGTACCTGTTAACCTCCATCACTCCGACACTGGCAACCTTATTTAGGGATTAGTAACCCTCACAACTATTGTATTCTATTCTGCTCCAACCTTTATACCTGGTGGTCATACTCAATTTAAAATTGTTTTCCTATATACTTCTGTAAACTTGTTGACAAATATCTGTTTTTCATTGAGTCACCCGTATCAACAGTTTAGGGATTTGCATACATAATTTATTGTTTTATTACTCTCTCATACATAAAAATACACTATAGACAGGGAGGATCGGTTTTCTGTCGTTTCCCGATCCCACTTGCAAATGATACCTGTCTATTGTGAGGATACAGCCGCAGCTGCCCTCTCGCGCCGCGTTCACAATTAACACATTTACTAATTACATTAATATATTAATGCATGTATTTATACATATATTAATATCTCATTTCTACATTTACTAATTTAATAATCACTAATATACTAATTATTTTAGACAAACAATTCTGAAAAGAACCGACCAAAGCCTTTCGCCACTGATTGTCCTGGCTCAGCACCACCAGTGGATCAACGAAAAACAGAAAAACAGCCAACCACCAAAAAAAAGAAAAAGCACATCCTGAAGAGGCAATAGCCTAAAACAGGATGCCAAATCAACAGCAACAACAAACAAAAGAAGAAAGAAAAACCCAACGCGACAATGGAGGAAAAATTGATCACTTGAGAAAGGCGCTCCTCCGAAACAGCCGTAATGATAAGATTTTATAATAAATTTTGTGGAAGTGTTAAAAACAAAGTTTTCAGTGTTTTATTGTTACATACAATTATACTTTCGAGTCCCACACAAACATTCATCGAATCAACTAAAATGAACTTGGTATCGTAACGAATAATAAGCCTTTTAGAAAGCGATAGATTCAACTGTAATTACTTTGTTTTATAGTTAAACACGAAATGTAAATAATTGTACCTAATTGTATATTTACCTTGCAGTTGATTATACGACCAGAGAAGTAGATGTCTCGTATTTGTTTTTGTAAAATTTATGAGTTAATAAAGTGGAGAGACATAATTGAAAGTTGAAACCTTTCTCTGTCTTACCGGTTGCATTCAAGAATGCGGTAAATTAAATATGCGGTAGTTGAAACTTGAATTCATTGACGTGTAGAATTATTAGTGATGGATAAGTTCGTTATCGGTACAAATCGTGCATGTTAAAACGGCCATTGATAATTCCAGAACGGAAGTTATGTTAGTAAAACACTACAACTAAAACTTGTTAAATTCTTTTTCTATTTCAGAGTTTTTCCTCCATTTTCATTTTTTTTGTACGACACTTTAGTAAAGTCACATTGTTTTGAACCTGATTTAAGGTAAATAGTACATTGTTTACCGGGTAGGAAAAGCAACATTCCTGGACGACTGTGAAGATTGCTAAGTCGATAGCAACACAGAGTCCAGGAATGTGACTTTTCCTACGAGGTAAACATACTATTTTTCCGCAAATCGTTTAAAATTCGACAGATATTGATTGATTTAAAAAAAAACGCGATAATTTTATTCCCAAATAAATGGTGCTTTGAAATTCCTAATAAAATTACTTGGGTTACTATGGAAACGTATTGAGGTTGAATTGTCAAACTTGACGCTTATAAATTTAATTGCTGGTGTTCTCGAAAGTAAAATGATAAGTGATGATGAAACATCCATTCCTGGGACTCCTCCAGAGCTGGTTGAGGCAGTGAATACTGCTTCATTAGAATTATTGCCAAAGAAATCAAGAGAAAAGTACGAAAATGCATACAGACGTTTTATGGATTATTGCATGAGTAAAAATACGAGTTCTTTCTCACAAAAAGGTTGTAATGGCATACTTCCTAGACCTTTGTTTAAAGATGAAATCTTCAACATTATGGGCCAATTATTCAATGCTGAAGTCAACCCTTGCACTTAAACACAATGTAGATATATCTACATACTCAAAACTTCGTTCTTTATTGAAACGGCAAGCTCAAGGTTATAGGGCAAAGAAATTTAAGATTTTAACGAAGGAAGAAATTGAAAAATTTATCCAGGAAGCTCCAGATAAAGAAAATTTAATGATTAAGGTAATTTACAAGGTTTTAATTTCTATTTAGATTATAGCTTTATTTATTTTTTAGGTGGCTGTAATATTTGGTATTTCTGGGGCCTGTAGAATGGATAAGTTAGTCCGAATGACTGTACACGATATAGAAGACTTAGAATCTAAGCTTTTAATCAGCATACCTGATTCGAAAACCAACAAACCAAGATCATTTGTAATTAATCAGATCTACTTGAATGTTTATCGAAAGTATGTTTCGTTAAGACCAGAAAATATGAACAGTGACCGATTTTTCTTTAAATATCAAAGCGGAAAGGGTTGTAGACAAGTGGTAGGAATTCATCAATTTAGAAAAATGCCCAAAATAATTGCTACTTATTTGAACTTGGTAAATCCGACAGAATATACTGGTCACTGCTTTCGTCGGTCTTCTGCAACAATATTGGTTGACTCTGGTGCCGACATAACTAGTTTAAAGAGGCATGGCGGATGGAAGTCATCAAACGTTGCTGAAGGATATATCGAAGAATCGCTTAACAATAAGGTTGAGGTGGCAAATAAAATTTTCACAGTACAAAATATTCAACAAAATGACACTTCCACCCTGCATGTTGTCCAAAATGTTTCTCATAGTTCTAAGAGTGTTCCTCCAATGTTCAATAATTGTACTAACTGTCAAATTACTGTAAATATAACAAATTGATCTTAAAAATGTATTCAGCAATGACTTGATGTTTTCAAAATATAAATTAATTCCTTATAAGCAATGTGTTTTCTATCATTTATGTAGAACACTAACAACTGTACGGAAATATCATTTCCTTACAGTAAGGAAATGACATTTCCTTACAGTAAGGAAGTCCTGACTTTTTCTTCAAGAAATTTTGACAGGAATGTCAAAATTTCCTGGCGATTTGCGGAAAAAGTATTTATATTAAAAAAGGCTGTATCATTTGTTACATCGTTTTCAAAAAAAATTAATATTTTATTTGCTTGAATGATTATTCTGTTAATTTTTTAATATCATTCAAAATTTAATCAAGATAACATTGCTCATTTCTCTCACAAAAATATAACTACTTCTTTTTAGGAACCCATAAAGACTATTTATATAACGAGTTGTCCTTGGTGGTATGTATGCATATAATGTCCAACCTCATCTTTATTCATAGGAGTTTCTATATCTACAAAAAGAACATAAAATTTTTACTCACCTCAGGACGGGTATAGGATTGAGTTTACGAGCAAAATACGATTTTTAAAGGATCTTATCGTTACGACGAATTCCATTCTTTGGAAGAATGGAAGAGTGTCAAATTGTAGACCTTAGCTTCAGCCATTTTTAATCTTTCAAAATCTTTTATTTTACAAACACAACTTACACTAAACTGATTGGATTCACCAAGGGAAGAGCCACTTATATTTTTATGTAACTTAATATATTTTTCTACTATCGAAGTACAATTTTTTATTGAACTGACAAGAAGCCATCCTTTCTGCTCGACATTTTATAACGAACCTTTTGTTTTTTAACAAATGCTCATGTGTCTAGAGGGAATCTAATCCTTATGAAAAGGAGACCAAAAAAGTGGCCTCTGATGGCGGACATATCCGGAAATGCGCATGCGCCAAATTTAAATTTTCAGACACTTATTAACAGTAGCTATATAATATTTTTCAGAATATGTCTTAGGCGAGAAAGTTTTAATTAAGTATTAACGATAATAGTCCAAAATGCGACACAATTGTTAAAAAACTTCAACATAAAGAAGATTTCATGTGACATTTGGGATAAACAATAACATAACCCAACTAAATTTGATGTCAAACAAGGAGAGAGACTCTCTTTCCTTGTTTAATGTGGCCTCTAAAGATCGCACTTTCTGTCTAACAATATTTTTGCCCCCACTACCTTTACATTCCCTCTTTTGTCTTTTTGCTCGATAGTTGGAACTAAAAGTCGAATATAGGAGCAGAGTATGGGCCATTTGTACGTGGGAAAATTTTGACAGCGTGTGAAAAAGCAGCATCTTTTGATGTAGCGGCAGGTAATTACAGGTGAGGCAGGTGACCGTGGGAACTTTCTTATCACGACATCCTTTGATGTTTACCGCTGCCTTGACCTTCCAATGGGAACCAACCTCTGACGTGACAAAATGGCGGCTGACAGCTGTCAACTGTCAATTCTTCATATTTTTTGTTAACCTGTCTGAATTCTTGAGTCTGGCGCTCTTCTTCTTTGTCATCTGTCATTTCTTCTTCTTTTCATCTGTCATTTCTTCTTCTGTTTAGTGTAACAATTTTTCTTCTTTTTTGTGTGTCAATTCTTTTTTTATTTTGCGTCTGTAAATTCTTCTTCTTTTACGTTTGTCGAGTGTCACTTGTTGTAAGCCTTCATGTCTCAACTAGCGTTAATAATATATTTTCCGGAAAACCATAAAACATTTTATATTGAGATTTTTAACTAGCCAACTTAAATATAAACATAATTGAGTTAAATTCTTGCATTTTAATTGTGTTGAGTTTGGTCATAATAAAAATTATTTTAACAAAATAAGCAATGCAATTAAAGAATTAGCCGCTCCTAAAATAATTCGCAATAATTTCTAGATTTCCATCGTTATTCGCTCCGTGCGTGAATGACGCGACACCTACCGCCTTTATCTGACAATTTTGGAGGCCCAATTTTCAGGTTAAACATATGACATATGTTTGACATTGTTAAATACATGCGAAATTGACAATTATTAATAAATTAGTTTTTTAACTATATTTTTTCAGTTTATGTTCAAAATAAATGTAGTATTAAAAACTTAGTTTCTCAAAAATTCATCATAATATATCTTTTCAACTCCAAACGGAAAAGAAAGGGAAAAATCTAGTACTGGCAAATCAAGTTTTTCACGCAAAAGAGCATATAATTAAAAACAATAATGGTAAAAGTTATGGTATAAAAGCTAAAGTGAACTGCAGTTAGCTTGAAGCCTTATCAAATATCATTCAAGGTAAATTATTTAAATTTTTCCTATTTCAATTGCATAAAAATGAAATTATGTGATATTTACTTTTTCATATTAATAGCACGAATTCATCTTTTTCTTTTCTCTAATTTATATGTAATTTTTGGGAACCTATAAAAACTACACTCACTGTTTTTGCTATTATTAGCACAATTAAATACGCAACATGTATTTGCACACATTTTTGATAAAATTTATGCGTAAAAATATTTTGTCCAATATTCCAATTTTGTCATATTTCGCCGCTACGCACGCTGGCATCGTTTCAATGTACCCCTACCATGGTCACGCACGGAGCGAATACTCACTCATTTAATTACAAAATAAGAAATTGTGTATTTTATTGAATCTTGAATTATATAAATACAGCTTTTGACAAACTAAAAGGAGTCATTTAATTTAAACAAGCGTTTTATAAATCTTCAATAAGCCCAAGATCTGTGACTTTGTATCGTCATAACCTATTTTACGTTGTATATATCCAATAATACTTAATCTTAACGGTTCTCAGCATCCAATGTGTTATATTTCACATCATTACGTATTAAAAAACGTTCGACCATGTCAAATAAAGATGAATGTCTCTTTTGTTTACTTTCTTCGTTACAATACTACCACAGTCGCTTGTGAATGAAAAATGATTAATGAAGCATTGCACAAAAGTGTGTTAATCGGTATTAGCTCCCACGTTTAATAGTTGACAATATTTATTAATTATTTAAAATAGTTTTCAATTCTATGACATAAAAATTACTTTTTTACAGTTACATTGAGGAGCGCACAAACAATCATATAGACATGTTGATTGAAAATAAGCATAATTGAGTTGTTAAAGGTATTAGAAGATTTAGAGATGCACATACCAACAAATACACATAGAGCAAGAAACACTTTATATGACTAAACTAAAAGAAAACTGTAAGGCAAACATTTAAAAACCTTCCTTCTTCATGGTAGTCGTTCGTAGAATTTGAAATAAAATCTAGCAAACCTCCATCAACAAATCCTTTATCCCCTCCAATATGAGTGATAATTAAAGGGCGACCTTTACCCCTAGACAAACAAAATATAGTCTACCGAGCATTTGTAACCAGTTTATCTTGCGAAACTTATTTCACGAAATGCCCTTCATTTATCCATGTTTCATCTGAATAAAAAATATTTTTGCCTTCTTAATTTTCGAATTTCCCTTAAATATTGACTTCAACAAATAATTTATTTTTTCTTTATGAGCGCAGATTTTCTAGTGTTATTTTCATAAACGAATCTTAATTTAGGTAAAGTTTCCCACAATTTATCTCTTTTAATGTTTGGCAAAGATTCGTCTTCATTAATGTCTACTAACAGTTTATCCAAAGTAGGAATCTTTTTTGAATATAAAATGAACGAACTTTTCCTCGAATCGATTGTTTCACAATATCGTCTATGATGGAGTTTTCTCCGATTTCCACCAATTGTTGTGGGGAAAGCTTATTAAATTCCTTTCCCCGTGCGTGTACAGTACCAAATATTTTAGGACCATGGACTGTACAAAAGTGTTTCCTTCGATATATACAAGCAGAACTTCACGGCGCTGGTTCTTATGTGTTTGATTTAATAGGGGTTGTACTTAGAGAAAAATAAGCGTAATTAATTGAATCTACACATTTAATAACAAGAGAATATTTACACAAGCACTAATACTAATGAAAGAGTTCGCTTTAAAACATAGTCCATTATTCTATCGGCGTTTAGGGGCGCGTGAGCTATCGCGAAAACAAATACACATTTCACTGCATTTTGGCGGCAAAGAGAGAGCTTAGGTACCGGCGGTACCGCACAGTTTGAGACTCTAGTCACATCTGCGAGAGATTTTGAATTGAATTTTTACCTAAAATTTCCGACAAGGTCGGTTTTACCACTTTAAACAACCCTTATAAGCTATTTATGGCACAAATAGCTTGCAGGCAAAAAGTACAGTCTTTAACATAAAATCCAAACTAATATTTGTGAGAACTAAAAATTATACTAAAATTAATATAAAATGTTGTTTTTACAACATACTCGCCCCCGTTGAAGCGCTGGCTTTAACACAAATAAACAGATAATATTAGGACAAGAGAGCATGGGGAAGAGAAAATACACTACAATTCTAATCTTATACTAACTTAATTTAAATCGTTATTGGGTAGAGGACACAATTTGGTAATAGAGCGCTTGAAGACTCCATCTTTAGTTTTGACCGAGGCAATTCTTACTCTCCCATCCTTTCCTGGAAAGACCTCAATCACTCTTGCTAGTACCCAATAAAGAGGAGGAGTGTTGTCTTCAATCAACAAGACGAGATCGTTGGGTTCTAGGTTCTTATGAGGGAGAAACCATTTAGGGCGATTTTGAAGTCTGTTCAAATAGTCGATAGACCATTTTTTCCAAAACACTTGTTGGAGTTTGGACAAATGCTGCCATAAATTTAGTCTGTTTTCGGGAATGTGGATCACATCTTTTTCAGGGAATGAGGTGAGAGATTGTCCAATCAAGAAGTGTCCAGGAGTGAGATAAGTAAAATCAGAGGGGTCATTTGAAAGGGAGCAAAGAGGCCGGGAATTGAGCACAGCTTCAATTTGAACGAGGACTGTGGTGAATTCTTCGAAAGTAAGCTTAAGATTACCCAGGAGTCTACGCATATGATGCTTTGCGCTTTTAATAGCACTTTCCCAAATACCACCATGATGAGGGGCTCGAGGAACTATAGTTTTCCAGCGAATATGGGACGAGGCCAAAAATTCTTGAATAGAACGGGAGCTTTCCTTTTCCTTTAAAAACTTATAGAGTTCAAACAGCTGGTTACGAGCACCAAGAAAGTTCGTAGCGTTGTCACTGAATATTGTCTGAGGGAGGCCCCTACGACTAATAAAGCGTTTTAGAGCGAGAATAAACGTCTCTGTAGAGAGGCCAGAGACGACTTCAATATGAACAGCTCGAGTCGACAAGCAAACGAAAAGAGCAATATACGATTTTATTAAAGGAGCCTTGCGAAGTTTGGAAGCCTTTATCTGAAAGGGACCGCCAAAATCTAATCCAACATGAGTGAATGCTCGAGAGGAATTTAAACGTTCCTTTGGCAAATCTGCCATAATCTGGGTAGCGGGTTTGGCACGAAACTTAAAACAAACCATACATTGGTGAATGACCTTTTTGACTTCTCGTAGTCCATTTAAAGGCCAATATTTGAGACGAATTTGGGATAGAGTATTTTGAGGCCCTGAGTGACAAAGTCTGACATGTTCTCTGTGAAGAATGAGACGAACTATACGATTTTTTGAGGGAAGGAGAAGGGGGTATCTTTGATCAAAGGTAACGTCTGAGTTTCCAAGGCGACCTCCTACCCGGAGCATTTCATTCTCATCCAAAAAGGGGTTTAGGGGTAACAGACACTTATTAGTTAGAGTTTTACCTTTCTTAAGCTCAGAAATCTCACTCGAGAAGTTGGAATACTGGAGCATTTTAATAATCTTAAGTTCAGCGTTTTGAAGTTCGGTGACTTTAAGGGTATCCGTTAACTTGCGAGAAAGCGGTTTAGCATTATTAACAAATCTAAACATATAGGCTAAAGTTCTTACAAACTTTGAAAAATTAGAGAACCTATCAGAAAGGGAGGTGAAAAAATCTATTGGATCATTTCGAGCATGAAGAATGACTTTCCTTTCTTCAGGCAACTTGGAGGTATAACCCTTTGGGTTGTATTTTAATAAATCCAAACGCAGTTGATTTAAAAATGGAGGACCATGAAACCACAAGGAAGAGTTTAATATCTCAGAGGGTAACATTCCTCGGGAGAGTATGTCGGCAGGATTCTCTTTGGATCGTACGTGCCTCCAGTGAGCATCAGGGGAATTATCTAAAATTTGTGCGACCCTATTTGCTACAAATTGGGTCCAACGAGAAGGGTGTGAACGAAGCCAAGCGAGAACAATTTCTGAATCCGACCACATATTTATAGAGTCTAATCGAGATAATTTTTTTTTAACGATGTTAGCAATCCTTGCTGTGAGTTTACTACACAATAGCGCACCCATGAGTTCCAATCTTGGAAGGGTCAAGGGTTTTAGCGGAGCAACGCGACTCTTAGATGCTAGAAGGGAACAAGACACCTGTTCTGATTTATAGGTCACACGTAAGTAGATACAAGCTCCATAAGCCTTTAAACTTGCATCTGAGAATGAGTGAACCTCAACACCAGTGATTTCTTGACTC